AGTCTATTGCAAAGATGCATCAGTGGTAAAAATCTGCACAACTCTGACATTATATCAATTAAACTAGTAGAATTGGGATGACACATCGTTGTGTGTAACAAAATAGGAACATAGTAAACAGCTGTTGTAATTACATTTTTTTTTTCTTATTAAACTATCAAGTTTTTGTTGCTGTTATGTGGCTATTTTCTGTTTTTTCTTTTTCCTTTTTTTCATTTGTAGCATACTAGTTCTGAAGCTTATGTGTTCTTTGGAAGCATCCAAAGGTGTGGGGGCCTTTTGGGGGGATTTCTTTTTTTTGATCCTGGATATAGTTTTGCGTCAGGGAGACATCCTTGCTCTGAGTTAGAAGAAGGAATTCTGTGGGTGAGAGCGCTCCACAGGACAGCATCTCTGCCAAAATTCCTACAGCTACCAAGTATCAATTAGAGCTTTTTTTTTTTTTTCTTCCAGAACAAACAAACTCAGTGTTCTGAGTTGATGAAAGGTAGGCAAATGGCTTCCATATTCCTTTGCTAGATCTCCTAAAACATCCGGCTGTCCAAAATGGATATTTGATGCAGATGTCTGACATGATCAGGATTAAGGGAGTGCCAAATTTGCAGTCGTCCTCAGTGGTGATTGTGTGTCATTGTGTAATTTGTGGTTTTCATAATGTCCTTGCTGTTCAGCTTGTATATAAACATGTAGCCATCTGAGGTGGCAGAAAGTAACGGAAAAACATCAGGGCCTTTCAGAATGGCCAGTTTCTCAGGTTACTAGATACTTTTCTCCTTATTTACAAAGGAGATGATTTTTATCAGATTTGCCCCAGAAAGGAAGTATCAAGGTTCTTAATCTCTGTCAAATGGACTGGTACCCACTTTTATGTTGTCATATTTGTTTAATTGCTAGGTACAAGTTCAAATGCCGTAGTGGTTAGGTTGAGTTCTGTGACTTCATTTTAGAAAGTTTGGGCTTTGAGTAATGTGCAACCATTCCTTTAAAATGTTTCCTTTCCTATGTTACCGATTTTATGTATGTCTGCAGTATTGAGTCTTGGATCACCAAGTCAGTCCAAAAGAACTGACATTTACGTTGTACTTTTGAGACAAGACAGTTTAGTTGCAGTCTAGCAAAGACACGTTTCGGGTTCTTCGCCTTTCCCACAATCACTTCTAGAGGACTGGGGACAGCATTGAAATAATGAGTAATGCGGAGACCTCCATAACAAACTAGTCCCAAATATTCAAATATTGGTGGCTAAGAATGGATTCATATTTCAGCATCAGGAGGACGTATCCTGTTAGAGTATTTCATGTGTCAGTCTTTGCCTAAAGAACTAATGAAGTTTAAAAAAAAAAAAAAAAGGTGTTTTTTTTCTGCTGTACTTGGTGTGTTTGCAGGATCTAGTTTCTGTGTAAATATTCTGTAGAATGCTATATTTGTAACTGCTTGATTTGAGGAATGTCGGACTTGTGTGCTTGACTGCTGCATACAGTTACTGAGACTTCAGGCTATTTTGCATGTAGATAGACATATAATTAGACCTACAAGTTGACTGGCTATATGCGTACCATTAAAGATGTACACAAGAACGATGTTGTGCCTTCACTGTTTTTCTCAGGCACCAAAACCTGTTTTGAGTACTGATACCTTGGCTTCTTTGCTTTTACAATGTCTAATATTTTCTGTTAACTTGACTGTATGCTTTTCTGATGTCTTACCTTAGTTTAACTCCACAAAACTTTTTATCGTTGTTTAGATGAAAGCACTTGCACAAGATGAACTTGTACAGTGTGGTACTATAAAACTATTAAAGGGTTTAAGTCCCTTCAGAAATTCTGCCTGAACTCATGCTTCACATTTAGCGTCTTCAAAGTGCTAAGAACAATTCTCCATCATAGTGTATATAATTCTTTAACAGTGCTGTAGTTTAGCATTGCACAGGCATTGGTGTCTCAACTGCACTGAGTCTCAGACCTACCTCTGTGCGTTTGTTCTACAGAGCTATGTCCAGATTGATGACTGTGACTTGATTTATGCTTTACAGTTTTTGAGGTTCTTACCATATTGGTAAGTATAAGAACTTTCTGTGGTGCTTTGTGAGAGAACTTGTCATTCTTCCCCAAAGTCCTTTTTGGAAATAGTTTCTAATTGGCAAGTAAACTTAAAACACTTGTGGTAATGTCTTCCCACTTTTTCTGTTCTGAATGCTTTGAAGGCCTGTGTTTACCTGCACTGATGAAACAGTCTTGCAAGGGTTGCACTTTGAGGATAAAAGAGAATGAACTTGGTGAAGCCTGTTACAGCTTTTTTTTGGCCAGTGGGCCAAGTAAGCTGGTGGCATAACAGCAAGTGAGAGATAGTAGATGCTGATTTTGTTTGTTTATTTGTTTTTTGGTACAAGTTGATGAGTGTTCAGATGGTGAGAATCAGTCACATCACCATTTAGACCTAGAATGATGTGCTTGTAAGCTACATGGGAAGACTACTGAATAACCTTTGTTCAACTGAGAGACAATCAGATCACGTGGATGGGGGAAGAGATAGCAGCCCAGAGCTGGATGATTATTGGCATTCCAGACACCTTCTGTATCAGTAATCAATTAGTTTAGTGTTGGCAAACTGACTGTAGCTGTAGGTTTACATGAAGTACTAGCATCATTACTTACAACTGGAAGTATTTCTGATATCCCTCAGATGAGCACTGATGTAGAGAGACATGGTTGCTGTCTTACATTGGGAGCGTTGGTGTCATTCATGTTGCTGCTGTTTGTCCCTTGGAGGAGAACATTGTTGCTGAAGATGTGAATGATTCTATACGCTCCTTTCTGGGACCTTGCTTGACCTCAGCAGAAGCTGATGAACTTTGGCCTTGGTTGCATAATTGTCTGGGGAGATGTGCCCTCTGTACGGCTCCTGTGAAGTTCTCTGTTCTGTCCTGACAACAGATAACTCTCTACTCAATGCTGACTATGCCATACTCCCTTTCCAACCTTTAATCTAGGTGCCATTTCAAAGACCTGCTCTTTACTGAGCTCACACCAGAGGGCAGCCAGGGCCTTAATGTGATCCAGCAGCATACTGGCAAGGGTTTGGGCTTGGCATCCACGTGCTCTGCTGGAGCGAGCCCTTGCTGCCTGTGGAGAAACAAGACAAAATTCTCATCTGATCTAAACTGGATGTGCTGTTTTAGTTTAGCTGAAGTAATGTTGGTTTTCAGATCTTTATTTTATAGGGAATTTCCAAAGGATTTACTGCTCTAGAATTGAAAAAATGTAATCCCTCAACTGACAGGGAATAATGGAGCTAGTGGTTTTACTATATGTGCAAAGTCCATTCTATTATATGCTTTAGAACAATGGTTGGCAGGGGATAGACTTGAAGCAAAACAACTTGGAGATAGCTTTATTGCAGGCATTTGCTTTAAAGAATAACTGAAGGAGGATTGTGCCAGGTGGAGTGGTAGGAGCAGGAGCATGGCAGGGTGAAATATGCAGAGGAACAGAGTCTCCTTATAATGGCTCTTTTGATGGTAGTGTGGCGCTTTAGTAGATAAGACTCACAGGTAAATGATTCAAAGCAACAAAACCCCCCCTTAAGGCAGTTTAATATTCCAGGAAATGTTTTGTGTGATCCCTTGGATGACTTTCAAACAAATTAAAACCTACACTTAGCAAAAGGCCCTCGTGAATAGAGCCCCCCAAGCAAATGCGTGTGTGATTATAGTAGACTTTAGTGATGGCTGTTGAAACTCTAGTGAAATAAAACTTTGGACTGTTTAAAAAAGAAAAATGTCTAGATTATATGGAAGATAAGTACATATTAACTTTTATAGAGCTTGGAAAGTGCTGCATGGTCTGCTGAGGCAGCATTTATGTGTGAGCTACAGCTGCATTAAATTGGCACCACTGCAGTTTCCTGCTTTTCTTTCTGACAGCATAATTGTACCCCATTTTGTATGCCGGTAGTCAGCTGATCTCTTTGAGTGGTTTGGGGCATTAAACTAGCAGAAATCTATTCAGTTTTTTCTTTCTGTGTCTGTGTGTCTATTTTTGGCTCAGCATCCTGACCCAGCTTGCTGAGCTAGATGAATGCCATTACTGGCACAAGGACAGGGCAGGAGTGCCTGCCCAGGGTGGGGAAAGAATGAAGTGCATGAGTGCCAAGACAGGTTAAGGTAAACTGTCAGGAAATCGCAGCTGTAGGAAAACATCTGGTTAGAATCACATTTGATACAATTTAGAAGGCAGTTGTTGGAGAGGCAGAGGGAGGCTTGTGGTACAGCTAATGTGATTGGCTAATGCTCAAATATGTTCTGATGTTACTTTTACACCCCAGTCCATAGCCCAGTTGACTTCAATTTGATGTCCTGCTGTTTCTCAATACTCAAAGACATAGCAAACACCACGAATAAAGTTGATTCTGCTTCAGTTCTTTCTGGCAACTGCTGCTAGATATGCCGAGGTTGGGCATTGGGCTCGCACTGGGTTTTTCCAGCTAGAGGGTACATAATCTTTCAGGCAAGAGATGTGGCATGCTTTTATTTTTTTTTTAACATTGATCAGTGAAGCTAGTATGTGTATTCTGTTCAGAGAGGCCTCTGCTTCACGTTTACCTGTACAACTGTTTCTGGAAAAATACGTTATTTTTTGTGCAGCCACATTTGTTTTGGGGATTTTTGTTCCCTTCTGATTACTAAGAGCAGTTAAATGATTGGTCAGAATCAAATGTGAAAGATACACAACACAGAATGTTTTATGTGCCCATAAATATTTAAGACACCTAGAAGTTGGTAATACTGGAATGATATTAGAGTTACTAGATTTGGAATCATAGAATTCAGTGCTGGGTGTGTAATTCTCAATTATTCCTTCCTGTTAAATGCTCTTAGTTTCTTTTTTATGACCAGATTTTTATGAACCTGAAACAGTTAGCTCTTCGCTTGATGTTGTCTTTTGATAACTTTGTGTTTTCTTCATATTTTCTTTTTTTTTTTTTTTTTTTTTTCATCCTAGAAATTGGTCCAGTGACAATAACCACAGATCCCAAGAAATTTCAATTTGAACTCAGGGAACTTTATGTTCAGGTGAGTAACTTGTTCGTTCTCTGTGTGGTTCTAGCAAAGGCCCTGTTTCCTCCCTCTAATCTTTCATCTCATGTTGATGTTTCTGCTACAGTGCTGCATCAGGAGAAAGCCGTTTACCTCTGTCACTTTACCTGCACAAATGGTCATCTTCCTGTTCTCTAGTCATCTTAATTAATGATTATGATTGATTAATTTGTCTTAGTTTACGTCATCATATGGAGACTGTTCAATAACACAAGAAAGAATAGTTAGATAATGCTAACATTTATTTTGCATTTCATTTAGTTCTGCCACTTGTTCACAGACACTTTTATGAACAGTTTTGCTGTGTTCTGGAACTTATTTCCCATGAAAACCCTTCATTAGCTTTAATTAACTAATTTAGGTACAAAAGGACTGTAAGACCCATCAAGTATTACTTAGGTACTGGCTTCACTGCCATGCAGCACTAGGCACCTACTGATTCAAAGGCATCAGGTTGGCTCGGTACTCCTGTCTTATGCAAACCCTGTGAATCACTTCTGTAGCTGTGCTTCGGAGACAAGTGGCAGTTTTTGAACTGGCACATCAGTGTGTTTTCCTTGGTGGACTTTCCCTGGGTAAGAACGACCCACAAATAACATCTGGATTGGATGATGGAAAGAAAGGGAAGTATTGGAATGGAGCTGCCCTTACTGAAACAAAATATGATCCTGTTGTCTTGTCTTTTAATCAAGCAAAATGCTTCTGACCTGTGGAGAACCTTGCTGGAGTCAGTAGTGCCAGACAGACTCTCCCTTAGAAACTGGCACGTGGTGTAATCCCTGTAACAAAAGATTGTTTGGAAGGCAATTGTGCTAGTTTGGGAAGAATAAAAGTTTAAAAGTTAGCAGACAGATTGAAATCCAGAGAAAATAATAGTAAATTTTCAAGGAGACGGAAAGGGCCACGTATTATGCTTTTCTCCTTGATAGGGAAATTTAAACTTTAAAAATCCTTCCAGTCTTCATTTTCTGTTTTCTAAATAGCTATACTGGAAAATACTTGCAGATATGATTTAGATGAAGCTTTTGGGAATTTAAAACTCCTCATTTACAAGCAAGTTTTTTGAAAGTTATTGTCTAATGAATTTAAAAGTACTTTCTTTAATCCTGATTGATTGCATAATTTGTAATTACTTTCAAGACATGCTCATTCAGCTAAGACTTCCACTGACTTGTATTCATTCATTATATTGGTGAAGGGCCAAAATATAAATTAAAGAAGTGATTGGAACAGGACTGACAAGTCATCTTGCAGTAGTTCTCCCAGAAAATGTGAACTCTTCCCACATGTTTGTTATTAGTATTTTTCCTAGAAAGGCAGTTAAAAGATGCACAAACTGATATCGTGGAAGTAGGGGAAATTAAGGTAGGCTTATTTTGAAAAAGAGTGTAGAGAGTATATTCTCATTAATGAACAAAGCTAAAATTAAAGTGAAGATAAATTATTTTAAGGAGTCTTATGTATAAAACGTGTTAGATCAAAATATGCTCTCTGGGAATGCTGCAAAACTTGTCCTTCCTGGAATCAGGATAAGCCCAGCTCTTGTTTTCCAATAAATTCATCTGGTCACAGAACGATTGGAGGGTCGGTACATGACATTAGAAATAGGCTTTTGGCTAGCATTTGACATCAGGTAAAAATTAGTCTATGTACATTTCACTGAAGAAACTAGTCCCTGTTCCTTTTACATTCAAAGTGTTAAAAGAAGTCTTCCTTTGACATCTCATAAGTTGATTCCATGTTCCCTATGTTTCATCTGTAATTAACTGTGAATCATTCTTATGGCCAGCATGACAGTACTTGGGCAGCAGTGGCTTCTTAGTGTCTTTTTTTTTTTTTTTTTTGAGTTAAACAAATTGTTTTTTGTGTATTCTCGTATTAAATAGTTTTCACAATGGATACTTATTTGCATAAGCAATATGCTTAAATCATGTCTATATAAAAATCTTGTAAAGCGTATTCACAGAATTTTTGAGTGTTATGTGACCCTGTGATACAGATGCCTATACGTTTGCATCAACAGTTATGAAAAGGCCTTATTTGAGTATTTCTCAGTGTAAAAATGACAACTTAATGGAAGTAATATTCTGTAAGAGCTGTTGATTGTAGAAATAAAATAAATAACTTTTACATTTAATCGTGAAAGTGCAGAAATCTGTTGCTGTTTACAGGGGCAGATTTTACAGTTTAAATTCAACTCTTTGGAAAGTTCTGTCTTCAAGATGATGTTAATTTTCATGTAAGCTAAAGTGAACTTTGATTTAAACAGTATTTTCCCCTTATCCTTAGTTTAGGAAGAGGAAACTGATCCTTTCATATAACTTAAATAAAGTCATAATGGAAGCATTTTGGTTGAACATACGGTCTGAAAAATCTCCAGCTATGCAGCTGTCTACTTAGCAATACAGGTCACTGGGAACACATGACCTGTGCTCACTCTGCTGAGCTCCCAGCACTGGCTGCCCTGCAATGTGAAGTCTAGGTCAAGTTCTTGCTGTTCTGGTATCCAAAGGTCCTCCTGGAGCTCAGTACTGCTTGGCTGAGATCATTTCCCATCTGTGTCTATGACCATGACCTCCCATGACTGCTGCATGCTACCGGAGCAATTAAATTGTCAGCCAATAAGGGAGCGTGCGAGTATAGGAAATGGAGCTGTCACAAGAGCTAGAGCTAAACAAAACATGGTGCTCCCAGTAAAGACAAGAGTGACCATGACACCAACCATTTTCAGGGTTAACCACAACCCTTCCTTTGACTTTATTTTCCCTAAGGACTAGTTGCAGTTGCTGCTTGTGAGTGTGAGTCTGTGATACAACTCTGCAGAAACCATAAAATGCTGAGGATAAAAAAAGTGAATAAAGTATTAGAAGCTGAGAAAGTGTCTGTCTTGAAAGTCCCAAAAGAAAGTAACTGTTGGTATGTTCTTTTTTCTTAGAAAAATACTTTGTTTTTCTTCTAATTGTGGACAGGGTGGTGGAGACTGTCCGGAGATGAGCATCGGGGCAATAAAGATTGCTCTAGAAATTTCTCTTCCTGGTTCTTTCATCTATGTGTTTACTGATGCACGATCCAAAGATTATAGACTTGCCCATGAAGTACTTCAACTCATTCAACAGAAACAGTCACAGGTACAGAGGGGATTTACATTCTGAGCTGGTTTATGTATTTAATGCCCAGTTTTCTCAATATTGAAGGGTAAAATTCTCCTATGTGAGACTCAATGAAATCTTTTTACAGAAGGGACCATGGTACTGCCATTCTGGGGAACTTTTAAAATAGAGAGTTAACTGATAACCATATCAGAAAAAAGAAATATTCCTTTAAGTTTTAATATTGTGAATTAAATAGTGCAACTGAACCTTCTACCAGCATATGTATTGTTGGTCAGCTTACCACTTCTGTGGATGTTTTTATATTGTTCTGGAATTAGTATCCTGTGACGTATAAGTGCTGATAGATGAGTATCATTTCTGAAGAGATTCTTCTCTTGTTCCTTTCCTTCTTCATTGCTTTTTCCATTAGTAGTGAGTGTAATGTGGCTATCTTTCACGCAAAGTAATATGAATCCATGCCAAGTGATACAACTCTTTTGTTGTTGTGCCTTAATGCTGCCCTTGCAAAGTTTTTGTAGTTTGCACCATGTGCCAAACGATTTTTTTATTATTTTTTTTTTAAATGCAGGTAGTATTTGTGCTGACTGGAGACTGTGATGACCGGGGTCATATTGGTTACAAGGTCTATGAAGAAATTGCTTCAACAAGTTCTGGTCAAGTTTTTCACTTGGACAAAAAACAAGTTAATGAGGTAACTTTGCTTGAATTCTGCAAGATATAGAGAAAATAAGGCAGGGGCTTATACTCTAAATATTTAAATTACCTGGTTGTGAGTTAGGGACCATTGGGGGGAATTCTGAATGTCCTACTGTTGGTATGTGGACTCTATTCCATGTTTCCCTTCCTTCTTTTTCCGTTTGCTATATCAGGATGCAATTCTGTGACTTTTATTTATGTTTGGGAGGTGTGAACTGCTGTATCTAAACAGAACCTCACCAACTTCACTCTACCTGTGCCAGAAGGCTTCCAGGAGGAGAGCCTTTAAAATAAGGAGCAGTTCTGTACCCTAAGTAGCCCAGTGGCTTTACTACTCTGAGTGAGTGTGCAGTATCAGCTTTAAATGAGCATTTGGTTAGCAAGAAAAAGATTGTTAATAAGCCTGGACAAAAATGTTCCTCACATTATGGACAGGTAGTTGTGAGGTAGCAGGTGTCCGTTGTTCACAAAGTAACTGTGGTAACTCTTTAATTGAGGCTACTGTTTAAATACTTTTGACAGCTCTGCTGACCTCCTGGTAATCGTGATTGCTGACCCACAGCCTTGAATGATTATTTTCTTTGAAAACTCCAATGAGCCTTGGGCAGAATTGAAATTTCAATAGTGCATGAGAAAATAATTTGGAGAGGTGAAATCACATGTTAGTTATCTGGGGAGCTGGAATTGTTTTTAAATGTAAACATTTTTGACTTCCTGGTATAGGCAATAACTAGATGAGATTTTTTTTAATTAAAAGTTTACTTTGATTTGCTCCTTTTTCTTTCTTTCCTAGAATTTGGAGAATGACAAATGTTGGAGATAAATTACAGTTTTCTGCTGTTATTGCTTAGAAAAACTGAAGTTCTTTATTGGGGATGTTATAAGATATTGGCAGTGATGTGAAGGTGATAGAAAGGAGGAACTTCCCAGAGGATTTACCCCCCAAAAGTTAGTTAGGTTTAAAAGTTAGAGGAAAAGAAATTAGCTGTGAGGTCTGTGCAGCTCCTGACCTGCATTTTGCTGCTATTTGCATGTGAAGGGTAAAACTTCTCTGTGAGACTCCATGAAATCCCTTTATACAGAAGGGATCATGGTACTGCCAATGTACCTGTTTGCCAGGACTGAATTTTTAGGATTAAGTTTTTATTTGATTGTTTTGGTTTTGTTTTCTTCTGCTTTGGGGAGGTAAAAGTGAGCAGAAAAAGCCACTTGTAGGTGCTAGGCAACACCATGTTCTTAAGTGGAGCTGGCATGCACTATTTTGTCAGCTGCCTGCCTCTGCTTTCTGAACTTCTTGGCACTTTCCCATTTCTAAGAATACCAGATTCTGCTTGAATGGTTAGTCTGTCTTCAAATTTTGAGTACGGTTTTAAGTGGGGGGTTTCGGTAGCCTCCTTCCCACTTTATCTTGGCATTTCCTCTGAGCAATTAATGGGCTCCTCATCTGCAGGCTAGACAGACCATGGCCTGCACAAGAGCCAGAGATTGCTATTAACAAGTGGTGATATCGGTAGGTGCTACTCTTGCAGGGCTTTTTTGACGGGGTGGGAAGGGTACGCTGCTTTATATAATTGCATCCCCTTTCAGTGGCTGCAGGTTGTAAGAGATGGCCTATGTAAAACAAACATACGAACAAAACCAAACAAAAAACCACCAAACAAAACAAACACAGACAAAAATAAACCCTCTAAATAATTTCCAGAAGTCTTCTACAATAACCGCTGAACAGTTTGCATTAAAACCAAACCCAAAAGACTCTTAAATAATTTTGGTGATTGTTGACCTTACATAAAGCTGTGTCTGGGCTAAGGGGCTGTGAAAATGGGTTTACCAAAACACTGTCATCCCAATAGAACCTTCACTGTAGATTTCAGTTCTGGGTCAGAAATCCTGTTTTCAAGGAGCGTATCTGCCAGTGGGTATGATGCAAATGAACATGAGATGTAGCAGTAATCTGCATCAGCTGTTTATAGTATATCCTTCAGGCAAGATTCAACAGAAATAAATTGCACTCTTTTTTTTTTATCTGAATAGGCAGTTAAGTTTATAAATGCTAAAACATATTCACTGTTTTGGGCTTAGAGACATCTCATGCTGAATTGTAGATTAGGAAAGGGCTACAGAGTCACTGGCTGTGAATACTTTGCCAGACCAATGTCTTGTTTTGTTAAAACATTTTTGATTGTTCTACCCCCAAAAAACCCAAACAAAGCTATTTTTAGTGTATAAAATTTCAAGCCATTCCTCTCGGGCTTGCCCTTCGTGCATTAAGTGGAGATGAAGCAATATTATAAGCTAGCTACAAGGAAACACAACAAAACAATAGTTGATACTTATCCAATACTTGTCTTATGAAGAAGACTAAGTTCTGAAAAAGATGTTGTGATCTCAACTACTGCAGTTAACTTGGTCAAAATTATTGTTGATTGACAAAGTTGTGTTGGGTTCAGTCCAGCAAAGCTTATATTTATATAAGTATCTCCACTTATTTGCTGAATAAAGTTCTTCTAACAGTATGAGAGGAGGGTCATATTTTAACAAATTTGCCATTGTTTCTATGCATTAGATTAATAACAATGTTCTTACAGTACAAAGCACAAGATTTTTTATTGTCTAAAATTCTTCTAGATTTTTCCTTTATTTGGGTTATCAGGTGTACCATCATCTCCAGAGGTAACTCTGTACTCAAAAATCATGACATTTTTCTAATAGTAACAGGCCAAATATATTTTTGTCATATTTGATTATGACATAAATTTTGATTATCTCATTCCAAGTCTGTAGGGGAGGAAAAGTATTTTGTGATCAGAGTCCTTTACTGTTCAAATTTTGGTTTTGAAGTTCTACTTTTATTAACAACTAGCGACGACAACCATACTTAACTACATATTAAGTGGTCTTAGTTTGAAAATTTTCTCTAGTTTTGAGACATTTATCCTATTGAATCAGTTATAAAATTAATGTCTTTCCATCCAAAAGAATGGTAGCATTCTCATTTTGTCTCCAGTGTCTTGGAAAAGTTGTTATGCTTATTTTATCAAAGCATTTAAGTCCTGATCTTGAAAGGTGTTTCTTTAAGGTGGGATTTTGTTGGCTGAAGTGAGGTTGTGTGGCTGCTTTTGTAGGCTCAGGGCTTAACTTGCAATAATTGCTTGAAATTAAAATGCATTGAGAACTTATCAAACATGGGTTAAATTCTCGTGTTAAGAAGAGATTGTGTGTTTTCATAACCGTACCAAATTTTATCTGTATCTTTCCAGAAGGTACTAATTTTGACTTGAACTGAAGCTGTATTACACCACACTTACTTATTCCACTCATAATGAAGTATAGTAAGGAAATTCCTGTAACTGATTCTGCTGCCCAAAGGTTTGTACTTATGTCAGAACCGGTGTTAAGATGAACAGGATAATGAGCAGAATATGAATTTGGCCTAGCTTAAAAACAGTGGAGATTGAGTCATCAGTGGTTACAGATCACACCTCCAGGTCACTTTGATTATTTGTGGTAAAAATGAGTCATTACTGTGTCTGATGAATTGGACTGATCAGCATGGCTAAAGCTTCTTCAACTCATGTGGACTGAACTAGTGTAGTAGTAGTTTTCAATTTCTTTTAGTATTGAAACTCCTACTTGATTTTTCTTATTCTAGCCTTCCTATAAGAAGGGAAAATTTTCCCTAGGCTGCTTAAAAATACAGCATTCTTACACTTTTTTTTTTTTTTTTTAGAATAAGTAGAAATGTATGTTCAGTATACAGAACATTGATGGGAGGAGAACTGAGAATGACTGTGAAGGAGACTGGAGACATGGTGTTGACTGGTTTTGGAAAAAAGGGGTATTGTTGAGTGACTTGAAAGTTGGATGACACTAGATTGGGTGAAAAAAAAAGTTTGGAATTTGGGTGAGAAGCCTGTGGTTAAAAGTGGTAATGAGAGGAATTTGGGAGGGGACTGAAGACAGGGATAGGATAGGACTGGTAACAGAACATGTTAAAAGGAATGGTGCAAAAGGAGACGTTCTTGTGGGGAAGGTGCAGAAGATTAATGTGTGTAAGATCATGTGGATCTAGAAGGGAGTCCAGTATTCTTCACGCTCATGAATGCTTTGCTGTGAACAGAAGTCTCTAAAACACACTGGAAAAACATCCTATTTCTGCTGTCTTCACAGAGGATAGCAACCTAGGATTTACACCTACATGGCTCGGGTTAGCGTTAAAGGTCTGTATTGTGTATGAACCAGGCATATGTTTGAATGATGCTACATGAGGAAGCAATTTTAAATTTTGTTTCACTTTGTTAAAAATGTAAAAGGCCTCACCACTGCTTTACAAGAATAATATGAAGGTGACAAAGTCAAAAGCTCAAAATTACAGTTTAGGATTAAAGTTTCTTACATAGACCTGTGAGTATCCATTTTCATAGAAAAAGAAGGAATGGTTTCATGGGAGAAGCAGCTGAATGCTGCCTGGGAGAGTATGCTTCTACTCTGAAGGTATGTATTGTACGTTGAATGCCAAGCAAGGAAAGAAAAAAAAAAGTTACAGCTGTCCTTTCTCTGGTTTATATGGAACTTGGATTCTCTGGAAAAAATAGGCTGTAATTATGGATATAAGGACTGTCATAAAGCAACTCCAAAGGGATATTTTAAAGAGTTGAAAGCAGGCAGGCTTAATTCTTGTGTTTCCTAACTTCGAAAAGCTTGAGATTCAACAGTAAGAAACTTTTCAGTTGTGTTTTTATGCATGTAATTACAGTTATACTACAAAAATAAATCATGAATTATACATGTAACTTTCACGTGCACTCAGTCATATTTTTAGATCTGCATTTAAAAGTATTAGTAGAATATTTTTCTCTTTGGGGGAAGTATGAACCTACATATACTTAAGCAATGAAACAGTTAACTCAAATCCTGTTGCTTTGACTGAGAAATATTCTTGAGACCCAGAATAAACAAATGGGAATAGAGACCAAGCTCCATAGATTTTCCAGG